CGGCCACGCACGCCCCAAGCCCGCGGGCGACGCCGTCCGTGCCGGCTCTTGCGGTGTTGGGGTTGTCGTGTGTGACACTTGGCCGGGCCACCTGCGTCACCGTCCCCACCTGGCCGGCCGGCGCTCACGTGACCCCGCGGCCGCAGGTGTCCGCCCCCGGACCGCCCACCCCGCCCGCTGCGGCCCGGCCGGCGTCGCCCGCGGGCTTGGGGCGTGCGTGGCCGGGCGGTGACCCTGAGCGGGCTCCCGCCTTCCTTCCCGGCCTGGCTAGCCTGCCTCCTCCTCCAGGAAGCCCTCCTGGAAGCCGACCGGCGCAGAGGGGAACCCGATCTTCTGAAGGCAGGAAAGGCGCCACCTTCTGGATTCTTTCAAAAGTGCGGCCGGAGGGCGGCCCAGCACCGCACAAAACACTTCGCGGTTGTTGATGTGAGGCGTTGGGGTCCGGGAGCCCATGGTCGAGAAGGAATACTTGAGAGGTGCCTGGCTGGCCCAGCGGGGAGAGCGTGTGGCCCCGGGGTGGTGAGTCCGAGCCCCGGGTTGGGTGTAGGGATTACTTAAATACGGTTTCAAAAACTTAAAAAAAATTCTTTAGATGTTTTTGGTGCAAAACCAGGCAGTTATTAAAACACGGGGACAGGCGTCGTGGGCAGAAAGAGCTGTCCCGGGGCTGTGAGAAGTGACTGGTTACATACTTTCAGGTTGGGAGGGGGTTAGGGACTGGGAAAGCCTCTAAGGACTTTGGAAGCAAGGTGTCCACGACCTTGAGGGGCCAGCTTGTTAGGATAAGGCCATTTACTCCTGTCTGGTAAACCCTTAGTCATGAGACCCTTTAGATGTCTAGCAGTGGGCCACGTGCTTGGGGGCTGGTGGCCAGCATGTATCTTGGGGGGATAAAGGAAGGGATTTTTACAGGATCCTGGAGGTCAGGCTAATGTCAAGCCAAGGTTGCCCTTTGCCTTTAGCACATTGACATCGAGGCAGCTGAGCTCCTCGGGAAGGTCGCTCTGCCTGTCTCAGGTACTTGTCAGTGGGCTGCAAAGGGACTTTAACCTTTTCTGTATTTCTTCCACCTTTGTTTTCCACACCGGTGGTTTTCATCACCCCCATTTTACAGGTAGGGCCACTGAGGCTTGGGAAGGAGGGCGCTTGCTAGCCTGTGCAAAGTCAAGCCCAGCCTGCAAGCCTGGCCTTTCCGGGTCTTGTCCACGGTGGGTCCCCCGGGCGGAGGCTGCCACAGAGGCTAATTTCAGGAATCAGGATCTTTAGTCCTGCCGGAGGCGCCAGGGGCCTGGGAGAGGTGACCTGTCGTTCCGCCAGGCGGGGGCGGAATGTCCTTTGTCACCCAGCCTCCCCAACCCCCAGCCCCACACCAACCCAGGGTGTGGCAACGGCAGAGTGCTCCCGGTTCGCCCCTGCTCGGGAACCGCCCGTGCCCATCCAGCAGGGGCAGCGGCCTCCACTTCCCCGTGAAGCCCACCCCTCTTGTTCACGCTCTGCCTGTGCAGCCCCCCTCCCCGCACCTTTCCAGGGGGAAAGCCCGCGTGACTCTTTCCCAGGCTCCCCATCCTGCGGGGGGCCCAGCCCTGCTCAGGAGAGCTGGAGCCCTCTCCGTGGGAGAGACATCCTCTTGCCCCACTGAGCCGGTGACAGGCCGCCTGCCGAAACCTCAGGAGCCATTGTGTGTTTGTGCCTAGTCACGGGGTCTGCCTCTCGTCCCTGCTCTGTTCCTCCTGCAGCTGGTGTCCCAGAAAGGGAAGGCTCGTGGAGGACAGCCGCGGCGCCCTCGGAAGCCCCTGGCGCGAGGGGTGTGCTCCTTACTGCAGCACGTCCTGGTGAGCGCTGACCGTGCCACCTCCCTTCTTCCTGATGTCACAGCCCTTCATCTGGGGCCAGCCCAGGGTTCATCTGTAGCAAGACGACTTCTCCTTCCTGCTTTCCTTCTCCTTTCGCCTGGAGGTATTTATTGAGCGCCTACTGTGTGCTGACCGTTGGGCTCAGCGTCAGAGATACAGCTCTGAGCAAATCGGATTCGGTCTCTGTCCTGAAGGTCCTGACTGCGGCTTGTGCGGGGGGGAGGCGGGGGGGGGGGGTCAGCACCACCGTACTGCCCCTGAAGAGGGCTAGGAGACCTGAGACCCGGCGGATGAGCGGGAGTTAGCTGGATGAAAGGGGACGGAGGGGTGTCAGGCAGGGTCGCAGCACGTGCGGGGGCTCTGAGGTGGGAGGGCGTGCGGTCCGAATGACAGCCTGAAGGGCCGTGGGGCTGGGGTAGAAGGAGCAGGATGGGGGTAGCACGGGGGAGACTGGCGTGGCCTTGCCATCTGGGCGTGCGGTCTATTGTTTCTCCTCAGGGCAGCAAGGAGCCGCTCAGGTGGGAGCAACGGGCCGAAATGATCAGATCTGATGGAAAGACCCCTCTTTCCAGGGCAGGGAGGACGGCTGAAGCAGACACCCTGAGCCCCAACCCAGACCAAGGAAGCTGATGTCTTGCCTCTGGAATGCTTTCAGGGCGGGGAGCTCACCCCCTCCCAATACAGATCGTTGCATCGTCTGCCTTCATCACGTGTTTTAGACGTTCTTGGCGTGACGTGGTGTCCAGAATTTTCATCATCCTGGCATGTTCCCCCAAGACACTTCAAAATGTGCCAAAATCCTTCTCAAAATGTGGTCTTCGGAACAGAACCCGGTACCACGCCAGTATAAGAAAACGGGGAAAGACTCACCTCCTCTCTTCTGGATATGATACCTCTGTTAATACAGCCTCATCCTGCTGCAGCCCTTACATGTATCCATCCCACAGCACAGAGCCCGAGGCCCTATATGCAGCAGGGGCTCAGCCAGTGCCTGGTGACTCACTGATGTGATCTGAGGTCCCAGGACTGAGCCCCAGAGATGACGAGTGCCAGCCTCCTTCTGACCTGTCTCCAGGTTCCCTTTTCCGGAAAGGCCCATTGCTAAATTTCCATTTGAACGCACTGGGACGTGCATTTGGGTGAATTTTCAGACCACCTTGGTGCCTGTGCTGACCCCAGGCCTTGGTGCGGTGGGCAAGGTGCAGGGGCGTGTCAGCCCGCAGGGCACAGTCTAGCCCGGGGGCATAGGCCCGCCCTCCCCTGGCAGCTCCCTCTCCGGGGCTGGGTGAGGGGGTGCCGCAGCCTCACAGGGCCGACTTGGCATTTTCTTGGGTGTCGTGGTTTGAAGGGCCCCGCCCAGCACACCTGTGGCCGGCCCGATGCTTGCCCGGCGTCGGGGCTCCCGTCCCCTGCCACGGGGTGTAGGTGCCACCTGGGGGACCCAGGTTGGCCACGGGAAGGTGCCCAATGGGGCCGTCAGTGCCATCTGTGTGTGTTTTGGGTAGGGGGTGCCGATGGCTGACCCCTGTGGGTGGACAGCTTCTGGGCAGAGCCCTGGGAAAGGTGGGGCGCTGCTGCCCTCCAGAGGCCATCTTGGGTACTGCACCCACAGGCCCAGCCTGTAGGAAGGGGAGCTGGTGGTCCTTGGGCCTTGGTCCGGGGGGGGGGGGGAAGAGGGCCCGCGGGTGCCTGACCCCCACTCAGTGCTTTCCTATAAAACACATCTTCAGAACCCTGCTTGGTCATTGCAGGGTTAATCCCCACCCCAGCCCTTCCTGCCCAGTACCTACTTGGCCCCACCAGCATCCCGAATCTGGCTCTGTCCCCAAACTGGGGGGCTCTGGGGGGCATCTCCTTGTCTCCAGCTGGCTCAGTGTGTGGTTGGGGCCAGGTGACCCGGAGCGAGTGGCTTGCCTTCCCCGGGCCCCTGCTGTCTCAGTCACAAGCTGGGGGTTAAAGATGATCGTCTAAGTAGTGTAGACCTGGTTCTCAGGAGGGGCCTGGAAGGGAGCGGCTCCGGGATCATAAGTGGGCAGAGAAGGACCCCAGGGCTGCCCGCAGGGGTGAGTCTCTTCAACTCTCTGCGCCCTGTGGCTGAGACCACGAGTGCCGGGGGCCAGGGGACACAGTGGCCGGGGACACAGTGGCCCTCCTTCCCCGCTTCGGGCCTCCGGGCTGGCCCCACCCCTGGCTGACAGATGAAGGATGCTTATCTCATGAAACCCCACGAGGCCCTCTGCAGGGCCCCCCAACGTCAAAAATAAGGACCCCAGTGTTTGCTCCCCGAAGCTCGGGGCCTTTGCACATGCCATGGTTTCTGCCTGGGATTCTCTTCCTCGGCAGTCTTCACGGAGCCGTCCCCCGATCCTGCATACCTTTGCCTCAAGCACACCTTCTCAACCAGGCCTTTGCTCACCACCCCACAGACGAAGGAAGGCACTCCTCACCAAACTCATTACTCCTGGTTCCTTGAGGTGGGTTGACTTGAGTCCCTCCCAAAATACGTTAAAACCCTAATCCCAGTATCTGTGACGTGCCCTTATTTGGAAATACGATTTTGCAGATGTAAGTAAGACAACGTCAGAGTAGAACAGGCCGGGCCCTAAATCCAGTGCTCAGTGTCCTCATACAAAGGGGGACATTTAGACACAGAATAGAGAAGGCCAAGGGATGACAGAGGCGAGGGCTGAAGTGACGTGGTCACAGGCCAAGGGACACGAGGATGGCTGGCAGCACCAGAGGCTGGAAGAGACGAGAAAGACCCTGCCCTGGAGCCCCCGGGGGCAGGCGTTCAGCCCTCCAGCCTCCAGACGTGACAGGACCCGCTTCTGTGGCTTAGAGCAGCCCAGGGAGCAGATTCAGGCAGCCGTCTCCCTGTCTCCTCTGCCCTCCGGTGAGTCCTCTGCTTTGCTCATCTGTTTCCCGGTGTCCCTCTGGGCCTTGGACGCCCGCTTGTGGGGGTGGGAGCGGGCTGATCTGCAGAATGGTGGCCGGTCGGCCCGGGGTTTCACGGGCCTTCGTGTAGCGGGCCTGGAAGGGCTTGGAAGGGTCTGGAAGGGCCCAGAGGGGGCTGGAAGGGTCGGGAAGGGTCTGGAAGGAGCTGACAGGTCCTGGAAGGACTTGGAAGGGGCTGGCAGGGCCTGGAAGGGGCTGGCAGGGCCTGGAAGGGCCTGGAAGGGCCCGGAAGGGCCTGGAAGGGCCTGGAAGGGGCCGGGGCAGTCGGCCGGAGCTCACCCCGCACACCCCAGACTCCCTACTGGCCCGAGGGTTTTTTAGCCTTGAGAATTGAAAGGCAGCTGCTGTGTGGCCCTGGTTCCCGCCTTTCCCACGAAAGCCTTGGAGGTGATGCCACTGTCCCATCTCTGGGCCACCGCAGGAGGCCACAGGCCGCCTCAGCTCCTACAGCCAGCGTCCCAGGCCTGGAGCTGCACATCAGTGTGTGTGCCTTTGGAAGGTAACGTGTGGGTCAGCCTGGAGCTCAGGAACGAGGGGCCTTCCCCGTGCAGCGTCCCCAGCGGGGGGAGGATGTGCACCCCCAACCCCGTGACTGCCCGGGTTTCCCTCTAGGGAAGTCGATGCTCAAGTCTGCAGGACCCCTTTCCCGTGGCCTGAGGGCACCCAGTGCCCCTGGACGTCTTGCTTTGAGACTTCCAGGGGCCGCTGGGGCTGCAGCCCAGAGAGATGATGCCCTGGGGCCGGCGGCCCCCCAGGAGGCCTTTCGGCCTGACAATCCGGGTGTCTGGTGCCGGGGCCGAGGACAAGCAAGGCCGCGGGGCGTGTCTACGTCCCCTTTCAGGGCCGAGCGCCCAGTGCCCGTGGCCTGCCCCCCTCCCTTCCTGGGAATGTGCCGGGGGGAGGGAAGGGGCACAACCGTGTCCTTTATTCTCTGGGCCCGGGTACCGGGCTGACCGACCCCTCGCTGCGGGGCCCCGCGTCCAGCCGGCGGGCAGCTGGGAAAGGCCTCGCTGATCTCGGAGGACGCTGCGGCTGTGAGTGGGCCTGAGGACAGAGGCTCCTCTGTGCTGGGTGAGTGGAGGCCCGGGCCGGGTGGGGTCCCCAGAGGGGGGCGGGGGCGGCACAGGAGCCCGATTGCCAAGCAGGGCCTGGCTGCCTGTCTGGCCCACCAGGGGAGCCCTGCCGAGCAGAAGGCTCAGCTCAGCAGAAGGCCACTCGCCCTTGTCCCCCAAAGGGCCAACGGTCATTACTTGCCGTTAAGCGCCTACTGTTTGCATCCTTTTATTAAGTTCTTACGCCATGTAACTGAGAGGTGACGCTTTGCCCGTTGTCACCTGGCTAGTGAGTGGCCACAGTCAGGATGAGTCTGTCTGACCGCAGAGCCCGGGCCCCTGTGCAGCGATCACGGCCTCTTTCAGGTTTCCAAAGAAGCAGGGAATTTTTTTAAAAACGTGTGTATGGCCTCCAGCTGAGAGTTTCAAACATTGTAAGGATTTCACTTACAGTGAAAGCAGCTCCCACAATCACCAACCAGAAAACTGAACAGAAACTACAGGAAGGCGGGGGACATGGTTCCTGGGAGGAAGAAGCGAGTCGGGAGAGCCCCACAGATGCACGGCTTTCTTCCCAGAGGCAGAACGCGGTGGTCTGACCCAGCTGGGGGGACAGACGTGGGGTTCAGGGAGGTGGGGGAGGGGGCGGGGACCTCTGGCAGAGGTTCAGAGACAGAGCTCCAGGAAGCCTCCAGAAACGCTACTCTGTGCACACGCAGAGGGAGGTCCCAGGAAGCCAGGCACAGAGCAGTTACCAGGACCAACAGCACTCAGTGTCCACGCAGGGCCTGGGGGCTTTAAATGCCAGTCACCCAGAATGAAGAGGCCTCGTGGCTGCGGGGCATTTGATGGGGACCAAAGGCCATATTTCAGGTGTGAGCTTAGCCTTCAGGTGTGAAGGCTGCTGTGTGCCTGAGCCGATGAGCTGTGCAGTAAGCCTTGAAAAGCATTTACAAGCATTTACAAGCTCCAGCACCTGGTGATTTAAGGAATCCGTGCCCAAAAGGATTTAAAGGAATCTGTGCACAAAATCAAAAAAAGAATGTATGGTGAGTGTAATCAAAAGAGAAAAAATACTAGTCAAATGCAAATTCTAAAAACAAAAATAGACAATATATAAAAGTAAAAGAAACAGTAGCAGCAGATAAGATGCTACGGAAGAAAAGATCCGTGAACTTGAAGCTCGGCCGATACGAGTTCCCCGAAATGAACGCCGAGAGAGCAAAGCCTGGAAAAAGCAGGCAGAGGCTTGCTGATCTGGGCTGATGTCAAGCAGTCTAACGATAATACGTAGAGTCGGAGGCCCCAAAGGGGTGAGGGGCGAGAATGTCTGTGTGACAAAGTCATGGCCAAAAATGTTCCAAGTGTGAGAAAATCCTCAAGCCCACAGATCCGAGAGCCTCGGGAGTACAAAGAGAGCCCCACCGTGGCGCCTGGCACCTCATAATCGGATGACTAGGAACCACGACGGAGAGAAAGCCTTGACGCCTTAAGAGAATCAAGACACGAATCACGGCTGAGCCGTCACTGGAAACCCCGTGAGCCTGGGGAACGGAGCCCCGTCCCCGGCGTGTTAAAACCATCTACAACCAAGATGTCCTTCAAAACTGAAAGTGAGGTCAGTACCTTTTCAGACAAAGGATAAGAGACCTGACACCCCAAGAATGTCAAAGGAGGTTTTTTGGGGCAAAAGGAAATGATGAGAGAGAGGTACATTCAGGTGTGCACAAGCAATAGAAGCCCCTTGGGAACTGTGAACACGTGAAAACACGTGAGATTTTTTTCCTGGATGTATTTTAAAAAGTTCTTTACAAGATAGTAGACTATTTTTTTAAAAAAATATTTTTTATTAATTTTTTAATAAATGTCATTATAAAAATTTATAGTTTTTTTATAAATTTTTATAAATTTCACACTCTGTCTCTCTCAAACATAAATTTAAAAATTTTTAGTATTTATTTTTGAGAGAGACAGAGACAGAACGGGAGCGGTGGAGGGGCAGAGAGAGACATTGAGGGAGGCACAGAATCCGAAGCGGGCTCCAGGCTCCGAGCTGTCGGCACAGAACCCGACGCGGGGCTCCGAGTCACGAACCTTGAGATCATGACCTGCATCGAAGTCGGGCGCTCAACTGGTGCCCCGAAAGTAGAGTATTTAAAGCAAGAGTAATGACGTGGAGTTTCTGACACGTGTAGAAGTAAGATATACTGAGGCAGAGAATAGAATTACACTTTTGCAAGGTTCATACGTTTTATGTAAAATGGTATGATGTCATTTAAAGATAGATACTCGCAAAAAATTAAAGATAAAGCACTTGACCCAACCCGGGACTTAACAACGATCAAAATCGTGGCGATGTAGGGACAGAGGGGAGCTTCCTCGTCCGGGTACAGGCACCTACAGCTGGCATGGTGCCCAGCGGTGAGGAGTGGGCAGTGGTCTCCTTCGGCTCTGGTGCCAGAGAGGTCCACCCTGTCCACTTCTGTTCCCTGTTGGTCCTTGCCAGGGCCGTGGGGCAAGAAAAAGCATACATTTTGGAAAGGAAGAACTGTTTCTCTTTAAATGACCCCCTAAGTGTCTACAAGTCATTGAGGAGAAGATTGGAGCCCCTCCCCAGCCTTTCCCCCGCTCCCCACTCTGTCTCTCCAGCTTCCCAGGGAAAACCACTCCCAGGGCGCCTGGGTGGCTCGGTCGGTTAAGCATCTGATTTCAGCTCAGGTCATGATCTCACATTCATGGTGTCGAACCCCACGTCGGGCTCTGTGCCGACCGTGTAGAGCCTGCTGGGATTCTCTCTCCCCCTCTCTCTGCCCCTCCCCTGCTCTGCACGTGCACGCATGCTCGCTCCAAATAAATAAACAAACATTTAAAACCCAGCCTTCTCTGAGTTGGGTATTTATTCACCTCGTACATGTTCCGCTTTCTGCTCGCATAACCTGCCATAAACAGTCCGCAGAAACGCTCCTGGCATTTTTAAGCTGTGCGGGCGGTTTCAGCCGGAAGTCTGTGCCTATAAGGTCTGCACTGGGTGGTCCAGGCGGGACTTGGGTGGCCGAGGGGTGAAGGGTGGGCACACCCAAATGCCTGTGGTAAAGCAAGGCTGGGAGCCCCCCGAGCTGGGCCCCCGAGATCCAGGCTGGGTGCTGTAGGGGAAGGGCCCCTCGAAGGGCAGGCTGGACAGGTGGGGCCCCTCCCTTGCCAGCCTGGGTGGAAGGTGCCGAGTCCCTCTAGGAACCTCAAGCTTCATGATGGACTCGTGCCTCCAAGAGGGAGTGGGCGGGACACAGTTTTTACAAAAATCAGGTAAATCGAGGTACAAGGCACCTGGAACTAGACCGCCCCTCGGAATGTACTGTTAGTTGAGTCTGACACAAGCGCGTAGGTGTGTAACCACACTCACGCCCCGGACAGCCTCCTCCGCCTCTCTTCCCACCTCCAGCCCCCTCCCCGTCCCTACAGCTCTGCCTTTGCTAGAATGCCGTGTGTCCGTGTATTTTCAGAGACCGAACGTACTGACAACGGCCAGATCGTACGTAAAGACAGGACTCTGAGCTCTGACCCGCAGTGTGAGAGAAAAACCCAGAAAGTCAAACAGGAACCCCTGGAACAATGGGCCCAAAGGCGCCAGGACTCGATCCATCACCGGCGGCCTCCCTACGTTTTGTCCCCACCTCTGACTCTGGAGCAGCCGGAGGAGGCCGCGCGCGTCCCCAACCGATCACGTGCGGTGCCTGCTTCTGGCCAGTGCCTCGACTCCCTGGTGCCATCTGGGCTCATCTGGAACTTTCCCTTTTTCCACCGGGAGGCTCCCCAGGCCCCTGCCGTCCTTCAAATCGCCACCAAGTCCAGTGCTGTTGGCGGACCCCCTGCTGCACGGAGCTCTGAGTCACGTCCTCTGTCCTCTGACGGGCGGCCTTCCGTCGCTCCCATGGCTTGTGCTTTCACTCACCAGTGGATGGACACTCAGCTTCTTTCCAGTTTTGGGGCGATTACAGATAAGGCCACTGTGGACGTCGGCATACGGATCTTTGTGCAGATGCTGGTTTCTCAGCTCACTCACTGTGTTCTAAAAGCAGGCTCTTGCTCTCTACAGGCTTCAAGGCTTCCCGGAACCTCCTGATGGGCTCAGGAATCGGAGGGCCACAAGCCAGGTCCCGGGACAGAAGAGGCAAGTCTGTCCTTTAGGGTTTTGGGTGGCTCCAGCCCCCCGCCGCGGGGCCTCGGCTGGTGCCCACGTCCCCCTTCTTGTAACCTTAGAATTCTATCCTCTTCTGCCCTGGACCCTGGAGCTGACTCTGACTTCCCTTTCCTGAATCCAGAATGAGCCGTGTGGAAGACGTTGCCGGCCACGGTGAGCACAGGTGCCTTTTCCTTCCCAGAGACTGCGATCCCGGCTGGTGCCTGCAAGTCCCTTCCCACGCCAGAACCCCGCCCGGCTCCTCGGACCCCACGAAAGCCACCTTGCGTCGGGCCATTTTGCCCCAAATGAGGACACGTCTCGGTTTGGGGAAGACATTCGCTGCCGCGAGAAAGAAGGTTAACGATTCTCAAAATAGCTTCTCTGCCAAGAAGCAACAGGCTCGCTTGGCCCCAGATGAATCTGAGGGCAATTTCAAAAGCATCTCTTTTCCCAGAAAACAGATTCCTCATTGACACATGTTTCTCCAGTTGATTCTTGCCCCCCACCCCCTGCCTTTCCCCCCGTCTTTTGTGCAAGGAGCTGGGTTGCAGAGACAAAGTCCGCTTGTCAGCGGCTGGTCCTCTCTGCTCTCCCTCCGGGCGCCCCGACAACAGGGCTATTATCAGATAGCTCCCTCGTGGCTTGGATTTTCCCTCAGGGCGCACGAGGAGAAAGGTTGCCAGGCTGGACAAGGACGGGAGGCACTGGAGCCCCGGGGCGGCGAGCTCCGGGAAGGGCCGCGGTGGGGGGCCCTGGACACTGTCACTCTGTCGCTGGAGTAACTTGGAAGCACAGCCATTCATCAGACTCATGATTTGCATGATCTGTCCTCCGAGAACGGAAGTGTGTCCCCCAGAGACAGGCCTCTCGTGCTGCCTCCTCGCCTGGAGCTCTGGGGTGAACCCCACGTCTGACCATCGGGGTCAAGACCTCACAGACACCTCATCAGTCACATCTGGGGGGGGAAAATGACCTGGAAACATTCAAACGCTTCCCCCAAGCGACGCCTCCCTGGGGAAACACACTTCACTTGAAGGTATTAAGAGAATGCAGAGGCTCAATGCCCCAGATTTGGGTCCAGGGATCTTGTTTCAAGATCAACTTCTGTTTCTTCCCTTTTGTGGCTACCAGCACTGCCGTGGCAGGGACCCCAGGCCTCCTCTCCCCATCGCTCCCGTTCGGGCCCCTCAGAGGCACTGCCGTTCCCAGAATCCATGTGGGAACTTGCCTGCGGTGAGGGTCCTTATAGCAAATCGTCTATCCGTCCGTCCATCCACCCATCTACGCGTCCACGTGTGCAGCCCATCTTCTACCGAGAGAGTGTTCAGGCTAGGCCTTGGGGATTGAGAGGCGAGTCCTGACATTTCCCATCTCTGCAGCCCCAAATCCAGTGCAAGTGGTGATTTCTGACCAGGGAACAGGCGCAGGGGCCTCTGTGAGTCCCGGGGGGCCGAGAGGTTGCGGGGAAACTCTGGACCAGACCCTTCTACAGCTGCCAGGGGGAAGGCATCGTCCCCCAGTTCGTCTGTTGGACATTAAGTCTTGTTTTCTTCCTGCCTCCCACCCCTGGGGAGGGCCGTGTGTCGTCTTGGGGAGGGTGGGGGCTGTTCTGCTAGAGAGACAGCTCCTTGAGTGTGCAAGGCAAGCTATCCGCCTCAACCCCATGCTCTGGTGGAAGGAGAGAGGCCACCGGGCGGACTTCCTGCTGTGAGTCCCCGGAATTTAGGGGCTGAAACTTGCACTTGAGTGGGTGAAGGTGGGGGGCATGTAAAGGAGGGGCGAGGAGCCCCCCTGAAGCCCCAGACATCTGTTCAGTCCCAGTCCACCTGGCCATCGCCTGGTGGGCAGGCTCAGGTCCCGACTGGGGACAGTGCAAAGACAGCAGGCATAGCCACTGTGGAGGGCTGGCCGGTGGGGAGGGCTAGTCAGTGGGGAGGTCCACTCTTAGGAACGGCTGTGTTTAGGATTGGCCTTATGGGATGGGCTTCTCCACCGCCAAGAGACGTCATCCAAGAGTTCCCGGTGGCCGGCTCGGGGCCCAGGTGCAGCTGGAGGCAGACAGGCCTGGAGGTGGACAGGCCTGGGGGCCAAAGTGCCTCGGGGGAGACGCACTTAGGGGAGAGCCCGCCTGGAGATCATCACTCTCACCGCAGGGCCATCCAGAGTGGTGGCACCTTCACTGAGATTGTTTTCTGGGAAATGTGACTAGCGAGGGTACCTGCCCTGGCGGTGGTGTTGAGATGATGGCCTTGCACGTGTCGCAGCCTGTCCCCGGGGACCCTTGACCCAGGCTGGCGAGCCTTGCCGCTGGCCACGCTCCGACCCCGAGTCCTTCCCCATCCCGGGGGCCTCTGTTGCCCCTCAGTGAAGCTCGCGGGCACCGAGACTTAGAAAAGCACACAGATTTATTGCGTATCAATCTCATGTATAAATTCATTGTAGCATCGGAAAGATTACATATAGTCCTATTCTACAGCATTAACCTCCGATCGGCTGCTCTAGCCTTCATCTTAAAGACGTTTCTCGACACAAGTACATCTGTCTTTATCACAAGCATCAAAACGAAATCTGCAGAATCACTCTCGATGATTTGCTACACGGGGTGTCTTTGACTTCACGGTCGTCAGCGATTTCCGCGTCGATTAAGAACTGCGCTTTGGCGTGAGCAGTTCTGAGCTCCTGGTCCGGAGGACGTAGACCCTAATCACGTAATTCAACAAGTGCATCTACAGAATTCTCCTTTTCATAAAAATTTCACGAACAGACACAGTAATGACCGCTAAACACGAGCCATGCACGGTTTACTGGTAACAGAAGCAATTTACAATCAGGGGGACATGGGACACACACCTGCCTCCTTCTCAATGGTTTTTTTTTTTTTTTTTTTTTTAAACATTATCTGAAAGCCTGACATTTACACTTGATTTCTTTTTCAACACTATACAGTTCTAAAAGAAAAACGAAACAAAAACCCAGAAAACAAACTGAACCGAATCTGTAATGGAACAAGGGCAAGTGGTGGGGGGGGGGGGGGCTTGTCACCAGTTATTAATTATGCACACGTGTTGTGTTCTGACACGGGGGCTCAGCTTCCCTCGTCTCGGGAACACCGACGGTAGGAAACACACCGAGAGACACCTTGGGAAGTGCTCTGCTCACGAGTGAATTGCACGATTGGAAACTCAAGCTGCCTTTTGCTTTGTTTTCTTTTCTTTCTTTTCCCAAAGCCGTAGTACGAATCGGGGACAGAAAGGAAAAACACCACAAAACTGGAATGCAGGGAGGGAAGGAAGGCTCCTGGACTCACGCAGGAATGTCTTGTCACAGTATTGCTCGCTGCTGCACAGACAGTTTCATGGCTTTTGATTCCCGGCTGACCTCCACCGCCCGGGAGCGGCCGCGGCCTCGCCACCCTAGCCGGGCCGGGCGCGAGGTACCCGGCTCTCCTGGGTGGCGCTGCCTCCTCGCCTCTCTCCCGGGCAGCACAGTAAATACAGCTCAGTAGATTTCAGTCACTTGGGCAGGGGGACGAGGGACGGGGGGACGGGGCGGGGGAACCACAATCCAGTGCTTCGAGGCTTCAAGGCTACCACGGGTGACACGTATTTGGGCAAGTGCTTTGCGAACGCTCATTGAGGAAGCAGCTAGGACAGAGAGGGCCGAGGGCCCTGCGAGCTTCCGGGGCCAGGCTCGGGCCGTGGAGGCGCTGGGCCTTTCGGGGTCTGGGCAGACCGGCTGTGCTCCTGCCTCGGACGGGAAGGCCGCCGGGGCTCACCCTGTCCACTGATGCACACCCGGGGTCCCAGGCGGGCTGCAGGAGGGCACGCCCCTGGGTTCAGAACAGGGGGTCTCTGGGGCCTACTCATGAAGGCCCTGTCTGGCCAAAGGATCGGAGCCCCACGCGTCCTACCCAACTGTCCCGGGACCGAGAGCAGCGGCGGGGGTGGGGTGGGACGGCGTCGGCCGCTGGCGGCCGAGGTCTGAGGGACGGAGGGCAGGGCAAGGAGGCTTCCTTCTGAATTTCCATTAGGGGATGTCAATCGTCCAAAGAAAGAACACCGTCGAGGCTGGACAGAAGGACCCTGGCCCGGTGGTGCCCGAGTGCACGGGCCTGACCCTGGCCACCACCCAAGGACACGTTGGCCAGCCAGCCCGTTCCCCTGTTGCAGCCGTGCCCTGAGGCTGGGGTCTCAGAATTCTGGCCGTCCGGCTCCCCGGCCCCCCACCGTCCGGGCTGGGCCTGATTGGCCCGTGCTGGTGCTGTGGCCCGGAGATGGAGAACCACAGGGAGGGCAGCTCCCTGTGGTCTGGGGCGGGGAGAAGTGCCAGGCGTGGGGAGGAAATGGTCACTCTGTCGGGGGTCCAGGGACAGACCCCCCCCCCCAGACCTGTCAAGTGCTTGGGCCCACGGGACTGAATGTTTAGGAGAAATGGGGCTAGTGCTCTAGCTGTTCTCAGGGGGACAAAGGTAAGGACTCAGGATGTGCAGCTGGGGCGCTGGGAGGGAGGGAAGGAAAGCGAAAGAGGCCTGCCGGGACTGGCCGGAAAGGACACAACGCCCCTTATCTGGGACCACGGAGAACAGGCACTCAGGTCTCCACCGGCCAAACGTCCTCTTTTGGGCGGAGAGAGGCATGTCGCAAAAAAAAGCACACACCTTACTCTTTAGCAGAAGAAATGTAATTTGGGTTTACAGAAGTGGGCGTTTATGTCCGAGGTCGGCTCTGCGAAACGGTCCGACGCGGAGGGAGGGGAAATCGGAAAGCCCACGCCACACCTGGCGGGCCCGGGGTGGAGGTGGGTGCGTGTGAGGAGGTGAGGGGGGCCCCGCCTGCAAAGCCTCAGCTCTTCCTGGAGCGCGGCCACCTTCCAGCCGCACACGCGTGTGAGCGGCCTGGGCGCCCGCGAGGCCGGCTGGGTCTCGCTGCCTCCTGTGGACCGAGAGCGGGGTGGGAACCCTTTCGCCGGGGCCCGCGGGCCGCACGCGGGCCTCCAGCGCCGACACAGACGATTGTCGCTGGCCTGGAGTGGCGGGGGGGGACCCGGGAGCGTGGCTGCTCCGGTCTGCCTGCTGCCCCTGGGCCAGAGCCAAGGACTCGTCCCCCGCCAGACCCCGTCCTCAGGTGCGGCCGCGCCCTCACCGCTTGCGTCTACATTCTTTTTTAAGGGCCACTTGGGCGATCTTTTTCTCCTGTTGGGACACTCTTACTCTTTTTTTTTCTTCCAAACAATAAAAGAAATAAATAGAACACTTGTCTTAAATGCAAAGGTAACTGAGACTCTAATTTAACAAAAACACGTGATTGTCTGGAAACGGGGCAGCAGGATCCGTCGGGGGGCGCGGGGGTATTTGGCACATTTAAAACCTCCCCACTCCCTGGTTATCAATCACACAACACACAACCTTATACACGGTTTTGGTCCTTCACTAGATACTTATATTAACAATATTTCTTCACAATAAGAATGTCTAAT